TGGCAGCTGCTTCAGGACCTCTTAGTCAACTTCCTTTTTTTGCTTCCTAAAACTAGCCTCTTCCATCTCTCTGGAGCCTGATCTCAAGCAGTGGTTGCAAAACTCTCCAGCCTGATGGGGCTGTTTGGTGATGCTTGAAATAAAGACTTAACAGAACTGCATGCTTCCATCTGCTTGCTGTTCTCACTGAACTGAGGCACAACTTGTTGAACTCGCTTCCTTCAGACTGAGTCTTGTGAGCCCAAGCCTTCAAGTCAGGCTAGTTTGGCCACACAGGTGTCTGCTGGATGCAGTCAGATGACCCAGGCTTTCCCACACTTCAGCAACGTGGCAGCTCAGCTATAGGTGCCAGCTATGCCAGCTATGGGTGAGGGGTGTGAGTTTGACCAACGAGGTGAAAAGGGCTCTTGGTAACTGGTGTAAGGAATTGCTCTGTCAGTCAATACCTGGAGCACAGACATCCACCCAGTCTGGAAAATGGTTTAAGGTTGCAGGGGAGATCACATGGATAAAGAGTCTGGTAATGGCTGACTAAACTTAGCTGCTTGCAGAAGAGCAAGCCTGTACCCTGTGGTGTGAAGTGTCAGTCTTGCCATATGTAAAAAAAAATGGTTTTGTATGCTGTGTTAGACAATCCAGACTACCAATTGTAGTAGTCACAGCTGCTTGGGCAGTTGACCGGTAACTCCTTTTTTCTTTGGACTGCTGCTGTTGAATGAGCTTCTTGAGCTGGTAGTTCTCAAGTTTACTGAACAAAAATGAATGGTGTGCTGGCCCTGCAGGGTGTTTCTGGTAATGCTGTGAGCTGGCAGTGCTAGGGTTGTTTGAAATCTCCACACCCTCTCATAACATTACGAACAAAAAGTTTGCTATCCCTAATCCTACAACAGGTGACTCACTACAGATTTTCAAACTCTACAGCTTCCTCTAGGGCAGCTTATCTGTTTACCCCTCCAATTATCACTGGGGACTGGCTACAGCCAGTCTTGAGTCAGTGTGATTGGAATTGCATAGGCTCCAGGTACAGTTCCACTTATGTGGCTGTCCCTTCTGTGGAGAATAGCAGCGTTGTTCCAAGGCAGCCATGGAGTATCCATTACTGTAATCTGAGGTAGAGCTGTGTTTAAATGTGGTGTGGGAGAGGCCTTATACCAGTGGAATAAACCTACTTTGAAATGCCCAGGTTTCTGGCATGGCAAAGCAAGGGCTGTACTAGACCTGAGTATCACTTCTAACAATTCTCTGCTCAAGGATGAACTGGCTTTGAGGTGAAATGATAACTGCTGTCTTGTTCAAGGGAAGCTTGCCTACTGCAGAGGGTTGCTCATTTGATAATGGATTAATTATAAAAGGATCCAGGTGTAAGTACTCATCCTGATCTTTCAAACTTGCCATGGTAGTAACCCATAGCATTTCAATTGAAAGTTTGACTTGTGTTACTAGCTCGCTTCCTAAAGCAGAGAAATTCTGCCTGCTTGTGCTCTGTAGATCCTTCATATGTTGCAGTATGAAAACCTGCTTCTTCATAGTGAGACACAGGAGGAGTCACTGGCTCTGAAAGCATCAAATACTGCTGTAGTTTCTCTGGCTGGTTCTGAGGCTGAGCATGTCTCAGTGCCTTACAGCTGCTGAAGCTGCATCTATGCAAATGGTTCCTTGGCTTGAAGGCTCCTGATAATGTTATCACTATAGGTGCAGATGTATCTGCAGAACTAATGCCAGGCTTTTGGTAATAGCCTCTCTTGAGGGAGCCTTGCGTGAGGTGACTTGCAGCTCAGCTGCTAGATTAATGTCCTCAGGTGCGTGACCTTGCTGAGCACTAACTGAGCTACAAAAAGGTCCTCACACTTGGACTACACTTGATCTAAACCACAGTAGTAACAGAATACTGGAGGCAAGACTCTCCTGAAAGTCCTGGCAGTGGCAAGACTACAACTAGTCTTCAGCCCTTACTGAAGCTATTTCCTTTGTGATGAGTTACTTGCTAGTTCATTCTTCATCTTGGAGCTGCACAGCTATATTATGTCTGCTACCACTTTTGACTCATAGGAAGTAAGAGCTATGGTGAGGTGCCAGGCAGCATACCCACAGTCCCACAGGAGTAAAGTTTTGCCCCTGGGAGCAGTACTAAAATTGGCTCTGGCTTGGGAGTTGAAGGAGTTGCTCTGCAGAAGTTTCAAACTCAAGTTAACCTTTGAAGCAGGCTTACTGGGATAAGTCTTGGATAGTGTGCAAAGCAAGGTCTCTGTTAGAACACCATTGAACTGGCAAGTGGCAGTGCCTGATTACAGGCCAGACTGGCTTCCTCCTGTGATCAAGCTAGGTAGGCCTTCTCTTGCTGCCTGGTGAATGTCATGGTTCCTTGTTTGGGTGCTTTCAAGATAGTGCTGCAGCTTCATTGGCCTATACATTAGAGTTAATAGAGCTGTGTGCTCTGAAGCAAATACATGGGGTCTTGGTGTGTAACAGTGGTACATATCTTCTGCTGTCACTGTCTCCCACATGGATCTCTTCAGAGCCTATTAACTGAGAAGATTTTGGAAAAATGTGTCCTTCCAACTTGTTGTGGTATGGGTATTGAAATGTAGCCTGTGAACTGTATGTGCTTCAGACATTCACAGCTGCCAAGAGGTACAAGACAAGATTTGCAGGAGGATTGACCCATGTGCCAAATGGCCCATAGTTCCGTCATTAGATGGCTGTGCCGTGGTGGGAAGTTGCTATCAGCTTTGCCACCTGGACTGTAATATTGGGGTATTGCCCAAGGTGCAAGAACTTCACAGGTCAGTGAAGGCAGTAAGACAAGCTGGCTTGTGAGAAAGTGAAGAGACAGCTGCAGGGGACCCAGTGCAAGGATGCTGGTAAAGGCTTCACTGGGAGCAAAGGGGTTAAGCTCTGAAGCTGCATGTGTAGCACAGGTAGCTTTCACCAGTAGGATCGTCAGTGCTATCTAAAACTGAAATGTGAAAAGTAGATGCCACAGAGAACATGTAGGTTTCATTTGGTAGTGTGTCTAGACCAAGTTCAAGGCATAAGCTCTTGTTTGTTCCTTAGACATGGGTTTTAATAATTGGGAACTGAAACTTGTGCTAGTCTACCCCTTCCCAAAAGCTAAAGCAGGCTGGCTTTCTGCAAGTGGGATTGCACCATCACTTTCTGTAATTCATCACTGCATTAACACCTTGAAGTAACTTCAGACTGGAGGAAGTAATGACTGATGCAATTTTAAAGAGTGAACTTCCCTTGTGAGCCTTGATGTTTCTGGGGAGGTTTATAGAACATTCCAAACAAGAGAACTAGTTTTTGCTAAATGCCATAGTGAGTCTAGAAGTCTAGGTAGCCTGAATCTTTATTCTGCTTAGGTCCAGATCATAGAATCATTAAGGTTGGAAAAGACCTTTAAGATCATAAAGTCTGACCATCCACCCTACAACCGCTAACCACTAAACCATCTTATGAAATACCAGGTCTGCCCCCTTTTTTAACATCTCCAGGTGCTTCATCCAACAGAAAAGGTTCCTAATTCAAGTTAGTGATTACTTTCTAGACTTTGCTAGTTGATACCACTTGGTTCTTGACTGCTGAAAGGTGGTCTAGATGAAAATGCTGAAAAAACACACATGCTTAGGAAAGCACATATCTAAACCCCTTGGAATACCTCCCAGCAACTCTTGGGCAAGCTGCACCATCTCACACTTGGATGCTTGTGTAAGGCAGCTGTAGGTCTTTGTAGAACAAGCAGCTCTCCATTGTAGAAACCCTAGGTCAAGTGGGTGGAGCAAAGTCAAATGGTACATCTCTGAACAGTGCAAAGATTTGAGAGCCCTGTGGTTTTAATGGTCTCTAGTAGCCTTTTATAGCAGGTAACAGTTTTCATGCTTAATCAGAACTGCTGCCTTTGAATATCAGTGTGATGGTATCTAACAAGGACACTTCCATGTATTTGGAAGTGCTGCTTCAAGGACTTAGTCCTGAGAGGCCTATCATCTCTTGGGGGATGGTGAGTGCAGTCCGGAGTTGGGGAGTTCCTAGAGCACTGCAGATCAAGGCTGGAAGGCAAGGGGTACTTAAAAATTCAAAGTACTTCAAAGAATGAGGTATTCCTGGAAACTTTTTGCAAGACTTAAGTTTTCAAGCAGAAATTACTTTTGAGTAGAGCTTTGGGACTCTTCTAATATTTCTCAGTTGGAGGTGATAAGCTCTTGTTCTACTTTGAAAACCAAGCTTTGGATTCTTGGGTTGGTCTCTACATGCTCAGTGTTTACACAGCTGATCAGCAGACCTTAGGGTGGTTGTGGTCCTCTACAACCTGGAAGCCATATTCTGGTTCCAGTGAATGGATTAACAAATGAACCTGATTCCTTATCCGTTGAGGTTATTTACACATGGAGAGGGTATAATTTCTCCAAGGAGCAGGCTGTGAGTTTGCTATATTGGTGTGTCTGAAGCTGAACTGGCATGTGTAACCCCAGGCCAAAGCTCTGTGGAAGAGGAGGCCCCATGAAGGTGACTTGTTCAACATTGGGGGTGCATCTGAGAATTCAGCCCAAGTGGCTTAAAGTTCAGTGTTTTTAAAATTTGACTTTCAGCTGGGCTACACCCTGCTGCTGCAGCAGGATGTGCTTTGTTGCTTTCTCTGCAGTTCTGCTGAGTGGAGTCCTGCAGTGTGGGCTCTGGGCATGAACTCTGAGGTAATAAGTTAATGTTTGGACCTTGGGTTTTGGTTTCTAAACATGGCATGAATGCATACTAAGGAGTATACTCTATGAAGCTAGCTCAGGGTACTCTTATCAGTACTGTTTGAATGGCACCTTTTTATTGATCTAGGACTGGATAGATCACTTCCTCTACCTTAGTATTCCAGGCTGACAAACCAAGCAGTCAAGTGACCATTTTAGTTTTGTACAATTATTTCTTGTGCTGACTCAAATGTTCTAATACTGCAGCCTTGTGAAGGAGCTGGTATTTGGGGATGTCTAATGCATTTTTTTCTCTTCCAGCCTTGGGAGCTGCATATGGAACAGCAAAGAGTGGCACAGGTATTGCAGCCATGTCTGTCATGAGGCCTGAGCTCATCATGAAGTCCATCATCCCTGTTGTCATGGCGGGTATTATAGCTATCTATGGCCTCGTAGTGGCAGTCCTCATTGCCAATGCCCTCTCACCTTCTATCACACTATTCAAGTAAGTTGCTGCCTCTGTCAGTTTGGTTTGTTTGTCCTGTCACTGTTTTAATGCTGCTGAATGGGTGGGTTCTGCTCCAGACCCCAGGAAGGGGTGTCGGTGCAAAATGCTTCTAACCAGGACTTGGCAGAGCAGGCTGCATTTCAGCTGTCCTCCCTGCTGTGGTGGCCCCAGAGGCAGTGCTGCCTGAGGCTGCTGTATCAACCAACAGATCAGCATCCCCACCTAGAGAGTGCAGGGGTTAATGGCTTTACAGGCAGTACTGGGGTAGGAGGCTAAGCTTGTTTCATGGTGCAGAATTCTAGACCTGAAATACATGGGTCTTTCCAAGACTGTCTAATCAGACTGTCTAAATAGTTCTCCTGTTGTCTGGGAGATGTAAGTGAATAATTAATATTGCTTGCTGTTTTATGTGATAGTAAATCAATCCTGAAGCTATACATTGGTCCTCTACACCAGCTACAGCCTGAAACTTTATCTGGTCTTTGCTTTTGAGAATAATTGGAACTGGCTTGATTGAGACCTCTCAGAATAAAACAATGCTTTTGAGGTCTAACGGATACCTGTGACAATGTACAAGCTGTAGCCAATGAGCATTGTGGTTGGCCTCATAAGCCATGATCCAAGAAACAGAAGATAATCTTCCTTAGGTACCCCTCCCTGCCTGGAAAACCAGACCACTTGTGTCCAACTCTTGCAGCCCAAGAGACCTAATAATTACCAGCTGTGTTGTGGCTGTAAAAGATTGCTAAAGGCTGGAGACAAAAGCAGGCTGCAGACAGTTGGACAGGTGTTGCTGTGGGTGCTGGCCCCATGGCTGGAGCACACAGGTCTGGCAGGGTACAGGTCTGCACCTGGGTGGCCATGTGGGCCTGCAGGTCCTGTAGCTTAGTCTGTGAGCCATACCTGGATGTCAGCTAAAGATCTTGCATAGCTTTCCAGGTTTTTCAAGTATCAGAGTTAAGTCTTGGGAAGAGTCTTGCTTTTTGAGACATACTGTGCTTGCTTGAAGAGTATAGAAGCTTTTTCTGCAGGGAAGAGGTTCCTTTTAAATGTTAATTCAGATGTCCCTGGGGAGTGAAAAAAAAAAAAGCCAACCTGAAGTTGAAGGGTGTGCTGTTGCTTGCCACTGAAACTTTCAATCTCTGTCCTACAGGAGCTTTCTTCAGCTGGGTGCTGGCTTGAGTGTGGGCCTCAGTGGTCTGGCTGCTGGCTTTGCCATTGGCATTGTGGGCGATGCAGGTGTACGGGGAACAGCACAGCAGCCCAGGTTATTTGTGGGCATGATCCTGATTCTGATCTTCGCTGAAGTCTTGGGTCTGTATGGCCTCATTGTTGCCCTTATCCTCTCCACAAAGTAAATGCTGCAGTATGATGTAAAGAGATGCAACAAATCCACATTTAAAAAACAAATGCTCCAGAATGAAAATGGTCTCTCCAATGTGTACAGTTGTCCCAATTTGGTAGTTGATATCTTGTAAATGCGCAATGTATGTTAGTGACTTGTCTGTCCTGTGTGTACTTCAATATTAAATTGGATGGGCTGCTCCAAGCCTGCTGCATGGCTTGGGGTGGCCTGTGTGCAATTTTCCACCCATTGCTGTTAGTACTTTATGTATAAATATGAACTAGAAATGTAATTTTTTCTCTTCACTGGATGTTTATTTATAAAAGACTTGACATGTTCATACATCTATGGAGCAAGGATTTTCAATTTCCCATGCTATATATATTAATCTTATAGGTAGATTACACTGTGGGGTCAATTGTAAGTGCAGAGAATTCCTTGGATGTAACTTTGAATCTAAAGATTGCTGTAGTGTCCTGGTATTGGAGTATGAGAATCTTGTGTTTTATTACAGCAATGTCCGAAACACTCCCGTGTTTCAGTAGTAACTGCGTATGCTCCGGCATCAGAGTCGTGCACCCAGTGTTGGGTTACAAACTTATACCATGTTTCCAAATAAAACTTCCTCACTACATTGCTGTACTGAGTCCTGTTTCTGATTTAAAATTTTTGCTGCTCCTTTAGGAAGGGGAGGGGTTCCTTTAGGGGTGCAGGTCCTGGATGTGACTGAGCACTGTGCAGCAGTGCTGCTGCCATTGCCTCTGAAGCATTCCCTTTTTCTCCTGGGTAAGGAGCAAAGCTGTTTCCAGCTGCTGCTTGTGGGCAGTACTTGGTGTGAGCAGGAAGAAATGGCTGATGTAGTACTGTGCTTGCCCTGGTCAAGCAGCACATCTTTGCTTTGGCATAGGGTGATGTCATGTAACAGGCTGAGCAGGCATGGCAGAGGGCATGGGAGCGGGCTGCAGCTGAGGAGCCTGTCTTTGTGGTGGCTCTGCAGAAAATCAGCTTGTTGAAAAGCTGCACTGTGAGCAGCAACTGCCTCTAAAGTACCTGAACAATATTGTCTCATAAACAAGATGTGTTTATCCAAGAACTCGTGTTTTTAACTTGTAAGGGGGAGCATTTGAGCTGGGAAGTACTGCTCTGGCAGTTACTGAATGCTGTAACAACAGTGTCTTGTTCTGAGGGTTTATGATGGTGCAAAGCGAGACAAACTTATGGAAGATAGATGTTGGACCCTTTCAAATCTAGAGCTTGTTTTAAATTGCCTTTGGGAAATACACCACCTTAATTTTATTTGTATAGTTTAGAGAACAGGTCAAGTTTTACCTTGTTCAAGCCAAAAATACAAATGTTACACAGACACCTAGTACTAGTAATGCCTTTGTGATCAAAGCTAAGCTGAGGAACCTGGAGTGGTCTGTGGGAACATCATCTGTCAGCCTGGTTGAGAATGGAGATGTGGTATCCATGTGCTTCACCCGTGTACCTTGTGTGTACCTGCACAGCAACCAAATCTGGTTTTAGGACTATGAAGAGCTGCAAGGAATTTACTGAAGCTACATCTGGACCTTCTAACCTGGCACAAGCACCAGGCCCAGGCCTGGTGATATCTCATGCACCTTCTGGGTAGCTGGTCTTCAGACTGGAATCATTCAGGAGACCAGCTCTGAGCCAATCATCCTGCTAATACAGATTTTCAGACTTTTAACAATTGTTGATAATCAGTAATTATTAACAAACTAAGGGGTTTATTCTGTTTGCTGTAAAGCTGATCAGCCTGCACTCATCCAATAGGCTGTTGGGTTTGGCTTTGGGGTGGGCTGTAGTACTGGGTTTGTGTCCTGGAAGAACTTCAGAGCAGTTGTGGTGCTTGGGCTATGTAGAACCATAAGCTGATTTAAGGAAAATCCTGGATGTCTGCTGAAGCCTTGCCTGGAATAAGGGAATGTTTCTTCATCCCAGTGGTGTGATGATTCTTTTCTTCAGGATAAGTAGAAGTTAAGCTTAGGAATCAGACTTTACCCTGGAGTCATAAATATTTACAGACATAGAAGTGTAATTCTCCTTCAGTACTGACTGCAGTGAGTGCCTTCTCAGTGCTTGCAGCTGGAAGTCATGATTTCAGCTCTCTGGAAAGCATGCCTTGTGCATCTTGCAGCCCTGGTGAGAGGCATGGCACTTTGGTTGTGGAGCAGGCAAGGAGGCCTGGCTAGGGCTGCAAGTATGTTTTAAGATCTGGATTTACCTTCTTTAAGTGGAATGTACTGCCAGCTTTGTTTTTTGCCAGTTCACAAGAGTATGAGCTGCCGAAGAGAGCAACTACATGCTGGTGGTAGCTCTCCTAAGAGAAATAAACAACATAAAGGCTCTCCAAGGTGCCGTTGTATCCACCTCGCAGAAGGCAGTTGCTACACTCAGGATGGTGATGGATACTTATGTAGCCAAATGCAGGCAAAGTCCCACTAATGTCATTTTGGTTCCTGCCCTGGAACATCGAGCCTTTCTTGTTAATACACAAACCTGCAGGCTGGGAGGATAGAGCATACAGCAAAGGCTGGGGTTAGCACGTGGAGGTGGAGGGTTGCTTTGTGCTGAGGAGCTGCACATACACCGGGAGTAATATTAACATTCTGAGCATGTTGCCTCAGCCAAGCATTTTCTGGCAGTGATGCTCTAGGTCCTCTCAGGTGAAATCTCACATTTCAAGTCCTACACCGATGCTGTTGCATCAGCAAATTTGTTAAGTGGCTCAGGGAAATAAAATTACCGACCTTTTGGTCCCTTGGTTTACTGGCAGCAGCGTGCTCGGTAAGTGCAGCCCATCTGTAGGGATTCACTTGCGTTTGGTTGGGCAGCGGGGAGCAGGGAGAAATGACAGGCTCGGCGTGTCTGATCCGACCGGTGGTGTGTGCTGGCACAGAACTGCCCTGTGGGTGGCAGCTGGCGCTGCAGTGACTCACCCTGCAGAGCTGGGAGCCGAGGCTCTGCAGCAGCAGCAGCGCAGGGGGGTAAGTGCAGCCCATCTGTAGGGATTCACTTGCGTTTGGTTGGGCAGCGGGGAGCAGGGAGAAATGACAGGCTCGGCGTGTCTGATCCGACCGGTGGTGTGTGCTGGCACAGAACTGCCCTGTGGGTGGCAGCTGGCGCTGCAGTGACTCACCCTGCAGAGCTGGGAGCCGAGGCTCTGCAGCAGCAGCAGCGCAGGGGCCGTCATACCGAGTTTTTTTCAAAGGCTGCAGGTTTTTTTATTGCTCTATTGGAGAAGCATTTTTAAGTAGTTGGATTTTTATCTGTGATCGCTCAGGGATTGTCTTTCCTTGGGAGACCTGGTTTACAGAGGAGCATAGTAACCTAGAAAAGTAAATAAGCTTTGGGGAAATAAAAAACTCATTAAGAGAAACTGATCCCAGAAACTAAGCTGCTGTCTACAACTACAGGGTAACAGCAGATCTAATGAAAATGGCTCCCAGTAAACCAGGTTTCCTTTGCAGTCTGACCATGGGGATATTGATGTTTTGGCTTTTTGCTGCTTCCATCCAGCCTCACTGCTCCTCGGGTGAAAACTACCTCTGACACACAGGACTTGCCACCTCTGCTCTTAGCATCTTTCCTTCTGTCCTACAGGCACTAACCATCTCTTTTTTTTTTAAACTCAAAGATAGTCTTCCCAGTTCCACTTACCCTGGAGTGGAAATTTTCTGTTTTCAGGATCAAAGGATTGTATCCCAAAAAGCTTCTCCATTTTTGTTCCTATTACTCACTAATGAATGCTGTTCTTTTCTCTGCAAGCCACGCTTCATTTAGCTCCTTGAGACAGTCACAGCTTTGCAGCTCACGTTGCTGAGTTCTGATGAGCTAGTTCTTGTATCATGGTGCCAAAGTACACGGAAAAATCCTCCCCCAGCTTCAGAGGGTGTGAGGCCCAGAGCTCTCCTAGGGGCCAAGCTGCAGGCTCCCAAGTGCCTCCTTCAAGGTTTCTACAGACCATTGACAGGTCTCACTGACCCGTGACAGGACCAGCTGGGCAGCATGAGGTTCCTGGACAATCAGTGGCTTGTGTCTGTGATCTCTGTCCTGAGGGGGTGACATGCAGTCACAACAGGCTCAAGTCCTGGTTCTTCTGGATTTACCAAGGGGATACTGGTGGCTTTGTCAGTCCTGGCCTCTGTTGGCACTTCAAACTGCCATGTCCTTGCTGTTAAAGGTGTACTTTCCTCCTTTTTCTTTGGGAGATGGTAATGGGGGGACCTCAAGTGACAGAGAGCAGTAACAACCACCCACACCTAAGGGTTTTCTCTACCTAAGATGGCCTGAGGGCAAATCTTAGGACAGCTCATCTGTTCCCATGATCTGCAGTGTCTTCTCAACTCATAGGTGTAAACAGCCTCCCCTGCTCTTGTGGGCATTAAGACAATTTCTTAGACCTTGTGAAAAATGAGAAGCCAAGGCTGCAGCTCCACGAGCACATCATCTGGCAGCAGTGCTAGCCCAAGCTCTCCCATTGGACACCTAGACCTTCTTTCACATCTGTCACACCCTCTCCTGTGCTTCTCCCAAGTGTGCTGGAACAACTGCTTGTGGCACCAGGCAGTGAATCTCATTTGAGAATCAAGCTAGGTTAAAAATAACTCAACCTGAAGAAAAAAATGCTAAACAAAATGCAAGTGAAACTACAGCTTGTGATTCCCTCAGCCGGTTACTGGGGCAGCAGAAAGAATATGCAATTATTAGAGAAGGAGTGTACAATTATTGCTGATGCAAGATAAGGTTAATTTAATACAGAGAGATAACATCCAAGGGGATAAGACTTAAGCAGGACAGATACATGATATATAGTTAGGCTGGGTGACACACCTACAGCATCCATGAGTCCAATTCCCATACCTTTCCTTGCAGCACAGGCTGTTCTTCCCAGCAGTGCAGAGGCAGGTGCAGGCCATTTCCCAGTACTCCCATTTCAAGGTTTGCTGTTGGGCTTGCAGCCTAGAAACGTTTGATGTGTCACCAAAGGGTTGGTGAAGCTGTATCCATGGGACCCTGTGGCAGGATCTTTTCTAGTGGATGTTCCCATCTGTAGCAGTTGGTGTTTGCATTTACCTCGATGTCTTTTCCACTGCCACTAAAAGTTTCTGGCACAAGTCTGTCAGCTTGTATGTAAGTGTGAAAGTGCCCTGTTTTGGCCACAGGCAGTCTGGGTGCAGTTGATCAGCTTGGAAGAGTACTTCCCTCCTCTGAGATTCATTCGCTCAAATAAGCAGGCCTGACTTGTACTTTTAGGATTCCTTTTCTGATATTCCAGTTTTGGAGTCTCCGACTTCACCTGTCCTGAAGCCACAAGTCATTCCCACCAAGATGCTGCTGGGTGCCCCAGATGGGCATAATTTCAGCTATGATGAGAAAAACCTGCCTGAAGTAATTATCAGCCTCCAATTCCCAAAGCAGTGCTCCACTGCTTGGCGTTTCCCTGGCCTCAGCTCTCCATTACTGGCACCCTGCTGATAGGAGGAGGCAGCTCGTCATGTGGACAAGCAGTGACATCATGGAATGGCAAGTACAGCACAAAACCTCATTAAAATTCAATTCCTAGCCAGACGGGGACGTTCCCTTCACGCACAATTACACCCCCCATCACCTCT